CCAATATGAAGTTTTTCTTGCTTGATTTCTTTTACATGACTGTCGAAGATGACGCCAGATAAAACAATAAGTTTAAACTAATATCTGTAATATTAATCCTAACCCTCTACTTAGTTTGTTGTTATCATAAATCTTACAACTCTCTTGCTTAGAACATATGCTGAAAGATAAAACAATAAGTTTAAACTAATATCTCTAATATTAATCCTAACCCTCTACTTAGCTTGTCGTTATCATAAATCTTACAACTCTCTCGCTTAGAACATATGCTGAAACTTTAACTAGGACTGATCATATTCTGTCTTCTAGGTAGGGAATAAAAAAGGTTAAGAGGCATTCTTTCACTTTCAGTGTCTGTAAGAATGACTGTTCACTTATCATTTTTACAACACCCAGAAGCATAAATGTATAGATTTCTTACATGCCTTGACTACAATAATAACTCTAGTGTTGCATGACCCGCCGCAGCCAGATTGGCTCGCTAGGCGGTGCTGAGCGCTCCATACGCACTGAGCTGAGCCAGCTGCGCCAGGAGAACGAGCTGCTGCAAAGCAAGTGAGTGGTGCTACTATTCAGCAGGTCTAAACAAGGTTAGGTCTGTGGCCTTTTGGTTTATTATGGGGGGAATCGTGGTATTCATTGTGTTATGCGTCAGTATAAATAAACACTGTGGGGGAACAGATGTCATTAAAAAAATCATCACATAGCTTGCTGCTGAACAACTTTACGTTCATAGGCTAATTTCTGTTTGTGGAGCTATCTGCTAGAAATGTCTTTCAGACTTCTCACTCTGCTCTTACATTGTCAAAAGGATGAAAAGATTAACTCAAACATACCAAAGATTTAGGTTGGGTTGCCAAAATGGATACGATAACACACGGGAAACAATAATTAATGTGATATGCGTGTCCATGCACTTGTAGGCTTCATAATGCTGTGCAGGCAAAACAGAAGGACAAACAAGCAGTGGGCCAACTGGAGAAGAGGCTTAAAGCAGAGCAGGAGGCTCGAGCCTCCGCTGAGAAACAACTCACAGATGAAAAGAAGCGAAAGAAGTTAGAGGAGACCACAGCAGCCAGAGCAGTAGCATTAGCAGCAGCATCCAGGTAGGTGCACAGCTAACATTTGAAACTTAGGAGGCAGCAACCGATTTCACTCCTGACTTATGGCTTGTTTCTTTCAAGGTATGATTTGTTAATTAGCATTGCTATAAATTCACTACTTGATTTTTCTTCCTGTCTTTTCTCAGAGGGGAGTGCACAGACACGCTGCGACGGCGGATCACTGAATTGGAAACGGAGTGTAAGAAACTATCAATGGACATCAAGCTAAAGGAAGACCAGATCAGAGAGCTCGAACTGAAAGTGCAGGTGAGTATTTTTTTATTAGCATAGTCACACTCAAGCTTTGATGGAGAAATGAGGTACTGCTCGAATAATCTATGCTTAAATGTATTTGTCAATTCAGTTATCATATATAATTTTTCTTTTCTCAAATGCAGTTGTGGGGTTGTAGTGTGTGTTGTTGTTGTTGTTTGTATTTCAAACTTTGTCAGATAGTACACCACTTCTCCCAGAAAATATTTGCAATCACAAATGCTTTGATTTTCTCATGTTAATTTCTTTTGTTTTCAATGGAACAACACAAAAAACCCCACATCTGATACATTCTACACAGAACTCCAAAAATGGACTGGACAGAATTATTGACACCCTCAACTTAATATTTGATAGCACAGCCTTTGGACCAAATAACTGATATCAATCGCTTTCTGTAACCATCAGTGAGTTTCTTCCACCTCTCTATTGGAGTTTTGGACCACTCTTCTTTTGCCAACTGCTCCAGGTCTCTCAGATTTGAAGGGTTCCTTCTCCCAAATGCTGTTTTGAGACCTCTCCACAGGCACCCTATGGGATTTAGATACATATGGATTCATTGCTGGCCACTTCAGAATTCTCCAGCTCATTGTCTAAAACCATTTCTGGTGCTTTTTGAAGTACGCGATGGATATCTGACAGGAACTGTCATGGAAGGACAAACCCCTGCATGGTATGTACCACAAGAACAAGCTCTAAGTACAAGATCAATAGAGACAGAGGTCTACCATACCAGACAGGACCCCAGGTGCAGGCTGTGCAAAGATGCCCCTGAGACAATCCAGCACATAACA